TCTCACTGATTCTGTTCATAACTTATGGACAGAACTTCTCAGTGCAGCCAGGAGGCGGAGGGATTCCATCTCTGTTCTTTGCAGATGATGTGGAAATACAGCATTCAGCATCTGCAGTGTTGCGGACCCTGTGCCGGTCCGTTGTGGTGAAGAGGGAGTTGAGCAAAGCTTTCTGTTTACCAGTTGGTCTACGTTCCTACTCCCATCTATGGTCATGAACTCTGGGTGGTGACCGAAAGAATGAGATCATGGATCCAGGCGGTTGAAATGAGTTTCCTCTGCAGGGTAGATGGACTCTCCCTTAGAGACAGGGGGAGAAGTTCAGTTATCAGAGAGACTCAGACTAGAACCGCTGCTCCTCCACGTCGAGAGGAGCCAGTTGAGGTGGTTCGGGTGTGTCCAACCGGGAGGAGACCTGGGGAAGACCCAGGACACGCTGGAGAGACGGTGTCTCTCGGTTGGTCTGGGAACACCTCAGAGTCCTCCCAGAAGAACTGGAAGATGTGGCTGTGGAAAGAGATGTCTGGACCTTCCTGCTCAAGATGCTGCCCCCGTGACCCGACTTTGGAACAAGTGGAAGATGATGGATGGATGGATGGATGAAAAAAGTCAAGGATGTTGTTTTCACTGTTTGGTTTGGACGAGTTCAGGTTTCACGTTGATGCGGCACCAGTCAGCGAGCTGTTCAGTCCAGTTCGGAGCACCCAGTTTCCCAGGCTGTGCACGTTGTTTCGGGCACATCATGATTTAATCTGCTGCTGAGGCTGGAGGTCTTCCAGTTCTTTAAGAAATAAAAAGCACTTCCTTATCGGCGACTTACTCCCTGATCACAGAATCTTGAACCCCCTCAAACCTTGTGAGACGTTTTAGAGCCTCTCCTGCAAACCAGCCGCTGGTTTCAAAGTTCCCTCTGGCCTCTGAGTTTGTTTGTAGAACATCTTCATCGTGCTCTGGATTGGCTGCAGCACAAACCGTTGAGATAAAAGCTCTTCACCGAGCTCAGCTGCCAAATGAAACTAAAGGCTAAATGAAGCCAAGTGTCAAAATAAAAACATCAAACATTTAACTTCATCTGCTGCTGATGATGTCCGCCTCCTGCACTTACTTCTTATTTATTCACAATACTCAGTACTACATATGTTTATTTAACATGGTCTCTAAATTGTCCCTAAGTGTGAGAGCGAGAGTGAATGGTTGTCTCGTTTGTCTCTATGTGTCCCTGTGATGGACTGGAGACCTGTCCAGGTGTCCCCCGTCTCTCACACAGTTGTTGTGGATATGGGCAACAGTGACATTAGTGACCCAAAAAGGAAGAAGCATGTAAAGATAATGGATGATGGTTGGATGACAGATGATGGATGGATGATAGTTGTATTATGGATGGATGATAGTTGTATGATGGACAGATGACAGATGATAGATGGATGATGGACATATGATGGATGATAGATGGATGTTAATTGGATGATAGACAGATGATGGATGGATGATAGTAGTATGATGGACAGATGACAGATGATAGATGGATGATGGCTGGTTGGAGGATGAATGGATGATGGACAGATGATAGATGGATGTTGGGTGGATGATGGACATATGATGGATGATAGATGGATGTTGATTGGAAGATAGACAGATGATGGATGGATGATAGTAGTATGATGGACAGATGACAACGATAGATGATAGATGGAGGATGGCTGGTTGGAGGATGAATGGATGATGGACATATGATGGATGATAGATGGATGTTGGTTGGATGATGACAGATGATGGATGGATGATAGTTGTATGATGGACAGATGATATATGATAGATGGACGATGGCTGGTTGGAGGACGAATGGATGATGACAGATGATGGATTATAGATGGATGTTGGTTGGATGATGACAGATGATGGATGGATGATAGTTGTATGATGGACAGATGACAGATGATAGATGGAGAATGGCTGTTTGGAGGATGAATGGATGATGACAGATGAAGAATGATAGATGGATGTTGGGTGGATGATGGACATATGATGGATGATAGATGGATGTTGATTGGATGATGATAGATGATAGATGGATGATGACAGATGAAGAATGATAGATGGATGATGGATGGATGATGGATGGATGGTCTTATAGTATTCTTATGTTTTGAATCGTATTAAACATGGCGTCCTGGGTGACTGATGTTGTGCTGATCTTGTAAACCAGGACTGTTCATCTGAACTGCTCTGGGGGCCACGGTTACTGAAAGTCAGCAGCTCAGGGGCCGAACATTCAATTCAGTTTATTTATAAAGCGCCAAATCACAACAAAGTTGTCTCAGGGCACGTTACAGGAACATTCACAAACATAAAAGCCAATCAGTAAAGAACATCCAGCAGTTAGTCATTAAGTTTGTTTGATGGTTAAATATCTAGTTTTATTTAAAAATGAACCACTGGTGGGCCGAACTGGGTTCACTCGTGGGCCTGATTTGGCCCCCGGGCCGTCAGTTGAATCGCCCTGTTGTACTGGTTTGAATGACAATAAACTGAAAAGTCAATCGAAGACGTGTTTGTTGAGTTTTAGAGAATTATTTGAGAACAAAACGAGAAAACTCAGAGCAGAAACATCTGGCTAAACGCCTCACGTTGTCTCTGGACGGCTCAGCACCGTCTGTTGGACGTCTTGCAGCAGAGCGTCAGACGGACAGAGACCTGAGTCAGGATGACTTCAGCTGCAGCTCCTCTGATAAAAACTGATGTGGATCATCTTTGGGCTGTTCCTCAGACTAAATGTGACGGACCACACGGAGCTTCAGGAAACCATATCTAACAACAGATCATCTGCTCGTGCACTGGACCAGCTTTGACCTCCGTCTGGAAGCACAGGGACGATCAGAGGGTCTTACCTTGGCTGAGCAGCAGAGCTGAGGACAAAGCAGAAGACAAGTCATGAGGGACAAAAGGCCAACAGTCCAAACAGTCCCTGAACTAAGAACTCCTTTGGTCTCAGTGTCGTCCTCTGCTCGTGTCACATCCTGACGTTTCTGTGCCTAAAAACATTTTGTGAGAATCCTCCACACTTTAACAAAGTGCAGCCCTGATGTGAGGAATGCACGTCACCCGCTGCCTTCATGCAGAGATCTCTGCGCTCAGAGCTCAGGTTGGAACGACCCTCATCTACTACCACTGTTTCAGCTCAGTATCTGTAAAACTGACAGAGCTGTGAGCTCTTTGTGTCGCCTCAGGTCACAGCTGTGGCAGCCATCTTGAATCAGGTGTTTCATTTAAATCCGTCCTCCAGCTCGGTTTACGTGACCGCCCACCTTTCGAGGCAGCTGGTTACTTTATCACGAAGGACCGTTTATGATTATTAATCACAAATGAATCGTATCGATACTGCCGGAGGCGAGGTTCAGCATCAGACGGGTAGAAAACGCTTCACCTGCTGCACCTTTAACTGAATCCCTCGAACACTTTGTGAAAACAGATTTCAGCTGCTTTAACGACGTTTGAACTCTAAAACAAATTATAAAAACTGAACCGAGACATGAGCACAAAACTAAAGCTCTAATTCAGATTAAAGACTTGAAACTCGTTGGACTAAAACCTGTTCGCTGCGTCGGCATTTACATTAAAGTGACAGTTCAGGTCTTTTCAAGAGGTTTTCTGCAGAAAACTTGTGAACAGTTCATATCTTACCTGCTGTGGATGACTAAAAGCAAGACCGCTCTCATCTGAATGTAAAGATCTCAGAGCGGTTCATGTGAAAAACATTTACGTCATCATTAAAGTTGGATTATATGTAAATAATTCTGGTGTTAACAGCAGCAGGTTGGCCGTAGCACTTCTGTTTGGTATCATCGTATTTCAGCGTTGATAACTTTGTAACCAGTAAACTGGTGACGATATCAATGTTGTTCTAATCATGCTCAGGTGGAGCTGTTCATTCTTGCTCTGACTAGCCGTTAGCTCGTCAAAACGGTCAGAATTAAACTATTTTTCCAAACTGAGATTGTTCAAAAAGCTATCTACAACAGGTAAGATATTAATTGTTAAAAAATAACTCCATATTTGAAAGATCTGAACTGTCCCTTTAGGAATGCTTTGATATCCCTACACGTATTTTTCTTGCTGTGAAACAATAAAACGTTTAATGAGACGATGGAACGCACCTGAGATTCCTCTCTTCAGCCAGCGAGGCTCCTCCAACACGATGAAGAAGTTTTCGTGTTTCTCGTACTCTTCATCATCGATTATCCTCACCTGCAGAGTCTGACTGCAGACACAAACAGGAAGTTACCGTCAGATCGGGGGCACCGCAGGTCGTCTAGTTATCACGGTCACTCTGGGCGGCGTGATCAGCGCCGAGGGAACGGGGGGGGGGGGGGGGGCTGGGACCACACAATCAATACGAGTCGTAGAGCAGAGGAAGAGCATGAAAAGAGGGAATCATGACTCTCTTTGAACAGGAAGAAACCTCCAGCAGAACCAGGACCAGGATGGGCAGCCACCTGTCTGTCCCACTCAGACCTGGGTGTTTAGAAAGCAACAGGTCATCGCAGAGCAGAACCAGAACCAGAACCAGAACCAAACGAGGCGTGCAGCAGAACTCAGCTGTATGTTTATTCTGTTCCTGCTGTTTGAGGTGAAGCTTTTTATTTCTGAGATCTTTGTGAGACGCACGATCGTAGAGAAGCTTCAGTGGACGAGATGGTTTCTCTTCCTTCCACAGCTGCAGCTGCAGAGGCGTCTGTGAAACGAGTCAAACGGTGGTCACCACAAAAACATGCGAGGACTGATGGGTTGCTGCTGCAGGACAGGAAGCTGAGGTGAACTGATGGAGATGAGACCAGTTTAGTGTTTCTGAAGACCACCGCCCTCAAATGTCCCCACAGAGATCAGCTGACTGACAGAGGAACAGGGACAGGAAATGAAAGAGGACCTTCAGCTGATCATCTAACAAGGAGCACTGACCTTCAGCTGATCATCTAACGAGGAGCACTGACCTTCAGCTGATC